AGGGATGATAGATAGATAGATAGATAGATAGATAGATAGATAGATAGATAGATAGAAAGAAAGAAAGAAAGAAAGAAAGAAAGAAAGAAAGAAAGAAAGAAAGAAAGAAAGAAAGGCAGGCAGGCAGGCAGGCAGGCAGGCAGGCAGACAGACAGACAGACAGACAGACAGAGGGATGATAGATAGATAGATAGATAGATAGATAGACAGACAGACAGACAGACAGACAGACACAGAGGGATGATAGATAGATAGATAGATAGATAGATAGATAGATAATGATAGGAGATAGATAGTAAATCCTGCAACCGAATTACTACGTACACTGGTGTATTTAGATCTGACTGTCCAGCCTTGGCAACTTTAAGACTTGGGGACTTCAACTCCCAGAATTCCTCAGCCAGCATGCACGCTAGCTGAGGAATTCCGGGAGTTGAAGTCCACCAGTCATAAAAGATCCAAGTTTGAAGACCCCTAAAATTGAGGGTCCATTCCAATTTTTCCCTTCTTAAAGCAACAAGCAACAATATGAAGAGGCGCTCTGCAAGTCTTAAAATATGGAGTGTCTTTAAGAGAGTTACAAGGCCCACTGTGAAATATAAACATTTTGGAGTCGATAAAATCACACTCACAAACTCAGAATGTAGTGACTGACGTTTGACGGGAGCTGGGAAGATGACTAAGGGAGACAAACCCTTTTGTTTTCAACCAATCGGACGTTTGAGCGGGGATGAAAACTACACCTCCCATCATGCCACAGGACCGTGGGAGGGCGCCTCTGAGACTGAACTACACTTCCCAGAGTGCCTCGGCAGGATATGCCAGGCTCTGATTGGTTTCCTGCAGAGAGCCGTCTTGCTGTCTTGTAGAATTCAAAGCCAAGGGGAGCAAAGCGAAAGCCAAGCCAAGCGATGGCAGAAGGCGCTTCGGGGCTACCCCGGTTGAAGCAATGCCTGATCAGGCGGGCAGGCCAACAGGAACAGCATGGGGTGGCCGCCTCCACCCTCCAGGAACTGAAGATTAAAGGTAAGACTTTCTGCTTTGGGGCTAGCAGAGACATTTTGCTCTGCAGGCAGAGCGGAGCGATACAGATGTCCTGATTCCTTGGCCTTAAAGCAGGGGTCTTCAAACTTGGCCCTTTTGGGCATGCTGGCTGAGGAATTCTGGGAGTTGAAGTCCACAAATCATAGTTTGAAGACCCCTGCATGAAAGTATTCACCACTGGAGAGAAATGCTAAAAGCTGAACCCGTGGGGCCTTTTTTTTAAGGGCAGGAAATAAAATGAACCCGGGAAACATTCTCGGCCAATGCAGCAAAATGGTTCTGTCTGGTCCTCTTTTTCCACAGCCTGCAATCTGCTCGCAATTGACTTGGATTCCCAGCCTGTCACTTTGGTCCTGGCGGGAGATGGCACCATAGTAGACGACGACGATTACTTTTTGTGTCTGCCCCAAAACACCAAATTTGGGGTGGTAGCCAAGAATGAGAAATGGACCGCCAGCAGCAACACAGGTAAGGAATTATTATTAAAACCTTTAGAAGCTCAGATCCACCAAGGTGCAAAACAAGGTTTGTCCCGGGACAGAATAACTTTGATCAAGATTCAGAGAATGAATTCAAGGATCTGTTGGCCCTCTGGATGTCTTATTATTGCACTTAGGAGTTTATAGATAGTTTTTTGGGGAGTAGGAAGAGAAAGTTTAAAAGGCATATGTATTTATTAAAAGGCATAAGCAGCTCACGGAAGCTTATGCCTTTTAATAAACCCTGTTAGAGTGAAAGGGTGCCAACAGGCACTTTCTGATGTTGGGTGCCCACGGTGTGAAATTACACTTGGGTACATCTCTTCATTTTTAATGTCTAGTGGACTCACAATTCTGTCCGTTAGGTGAGGGCACAACTTGGCTAGAGGAAGAGATCACAAACACAAACGAAGTGGACGGCGGTGGAGAAAAATGGCAGGTTTTGGCCAGGCAGCTGAAGAACGACTTGTCCACCATTGTGCTGATGTCTGAAGAAGACCTCCAGGTATGAAAAGGTCACTTCTACAATAACTATCTCTTGTTCCAGCCTAACTCTAACCCTTGTCACTTTTGTTTTATATACTGATTGAATAAATAAGATTTATACGACTGCCCAATTTCGGGAATCTTCCATGAATAAAGCTGGCATTCCTTCTTACGGCCACATTTGATAATGGCTTCAAGCTAAGCGGGGGAGTCTTGAGTTTCTCTCACCTTGGCTACCAAGGGCTGGATCCGGTCTTCTTCCAGGCACTCATTGATGTCCCGTGCTCAGATTTGGCTCGAGAACTGTCAGAGAATCCGCTCCAAACCCAAAGGTTACAAAGGACCCTTCAGGAGACCCTGGACAGGCGGGAAGAGGAGCGTCAATCCCGTCAGCTTCTGGAACTTTACCTGCAGGCGGTAAAAAGGGAGGATCAGGCTGCATCCACAGCAGAAGGTAAGAAGGCCATTTGGAGAAGCACTGGAAAGGAAGGAAGGGAGGGAGGGAGGGAAGGAAGGAAGGAAGGAAGGAAGGAAGGAAGGGAAGGAAGGAAGGAAGGAAGGAAGGAAGGAAGGAAGGAAGGAAGGAATCTAGCTATATGAATTAGGAAGGAAGGAAGGGAAGGAGGGAGGAAGAAAGGAAGGAATGAAGACAATGAGAAAACAGGAAGGCAATGAGAGAGGAATGGAATGGAGGAAGAAGGAAAGGAAGGCAATGAGAGAAAAATGGAATGGAAGAAGGAAGGAAGGAAGGAAGGAAGGAAGGAAGGAAGGAAGGAAGGAAGGAAGGAAGGAAGGAAGGAAGGAAGGTAATTAGAAAATAGGAAGGCAATGAGAAGAATGGAATGCAGGAAGAAAGAAAGGAAGGCAATGAGAATAATGGAATGGAGGAAGGAGGGAAGGAAGGCAATGACAGAATAATGGAATGGAATGGAATGGAATGGAATGGAATGGAATGGAATGGAAGGAAGGAAGGAAGGAAGGAAGGAAGGAAGGAAGGAAGGAGCAGACAGGTTAAAACTAATATACCTCTCAGGTCTATACCTCAAGCTGTACAAGTAATCCTCAACTTAAAGCAGTTCATTAAGTGACTATTCAAAATTACAACGGCACTGAAAAAAGTGATTTCTGACCGTTTTTCACACCTACAATGGTTGCAGCATCCCCAGGGTCACGTGATCAAAATCCAGACGCCTGGCAACTGCTTCATATTTATGACGGTTGCAGTGTCCCAGGGTCACGTGATCCCCTTTGGCGACCTTCTGACGAGTCAACGGGGAAGCCCAATTTCACTTCACAACCGTGTCCCTAACTTAAGAACTGCAGCGATCCGCTTAATAGCTGGGGCGAGAAAGGCCATCAAACGGGGCAAGCTCACTTAACTAATGTCTCACTTAGCAACAGAATATTTGGGGCTCAATTATGGTCGTAAGTAGAGGATTGCCTATACACCCTCCTCCTTCAAACAGCAACCGCAGAATTTTCACTGTTATTTACTTGCCCGCACAAGGCTAGATTCCTTGACATTATCTTAATTTATGGAGCCTTTTCAAGCAAGCCATGATGAAAGAAACGGTGGATAAAACTGGTTTCTCCCTGAGCCAAAGACAAAGGAGAATCTAAAGGGAACAAGCCATTCTGTGCAAGTTCCAGCATGTTTCAAATTAGAGTTACACTTGAACAGGGCCAGCATTTATACCTTGCCAACATTATGACCTTGGGAGAGGCTCTAAAAGTGATTAATAATTGCTGGTTTGGCAGCTAAAGCCGGACAGTGAACATTTATAACTCTGAGCCAAAATGCTATGTGTATCCCACTGATTGTAAGATTATTTTTAGTGGACATACTGTGTGCGTGATTTATTTCCTTTCTTGCTTCGAATGCCTCCTTTAAGAGACGTAGACGCTTCTCTTTGTGTCTAGCATCAGAAGCAGAGGAAAAACCCGTGGGAGGAAACGATACTGTGGATGCGGGGAGCAACGGAACAAGTTTAGTCCAAAGGAGTCAGTTGAGCACCCGCGTTGTGACTGTGCTGAAAGAAAAGCCTGCCCCAGAACTCAGCCTGGCCAGTCAAGATTTAGAGGTGGGTCTATTCTATTCTATTCTATTTCTATTTTATTCTATTCTACATTCTATTCTGCATTCTATTCTATTCTATTCTATTCTATTTCTACTCTATTCTATATTTCTATTCTACGTTCTATTCTATTCTACTCTGTATTTCTATTCTACATTCTATTCTATTTTCTATATTCTATTCTATTTTCTATTTTCTATTTTCTATATTCTATTCTATTCTATTCTGTATTTCTATTCCACATTCTACCTTCTACCTTCTATTCTATTTCTATTCTATTCTGCATTCTATTCTATTCTATTTCTATTCTGCATTCTATTCTATTCTACTCTATTCTGCATTCTATTCTATATTCTATTGTATTCTATTTCTATTCTATTCTGCATTCAATTCTATTCTACTCTATTCTGCATTCTATTCTATTCTATCTGCATTCTATTCTATTCTATATTTCTATTCTTCGTTCTATTCTATTCTACTCTGTATTTCTATTTTACATTCTATTCTATTCTATTTTCTATATTCTATTCTATTCTATTCCATTCTATTCTGTATTTCTATTCCACATCCTACATTCTATTCTATTCTATTCTATTCTATTCTATTCTATTCTATTCTATTCTATTCTATTCTGTGTTACATAGTCTGTATAATACAGTAGTCTGAAAAGCGATTTGTGAGAAAGAGAAGCACGTTTGAAGTTCCAGAACTAGATTGATGAACAAGGCAGGAACATCTCTGGCCATGAGTTAGGGTGACAGCAACCTAAAATAGGGAAGGTTTACCAATCAGATCATGATGTAGGGCTGATTTTTCCCTCCCGACATTTGAGTCAGAAAAAAGAGCATTGCTAAATCTCTTGTTCTCTGTTACAGCTGGTTTGCAACGAAGATTCAGAAATTCTTTCTCGGGCCCTGAGCTGGGACAAACACAAGACCGAAGCCTTAAAGGAGGCATGTGCCCAGGAGTTCTCAAGACGACGGCAGCAATTTCACTCTCTAAATTCACTGAGGACCATCTCCAAAGGCAAGAAAAAACTGTCAGAAGCTGGGAAGCGGTCCAGTTCTAAACGTAGGAAGTAAAAAGCCCTGGAAGTCGGACTTTTTGATGCAATTAATCACCCTTTTGGTTTTCCCGAATGGTAACGCCGTCTTTTTTCAAACCACCCAACAACATATAAAAGCAAAAGACGTTTGGTGACTCTGTAGTATCTCACTTCACCAAACTACTTATTTACGGGAAGCGCTAGTCCAAGACAAAAGTATTTGAAGACTTATGGTGTAGATTGGAATACAAAGACAAAAATGCTGTTTTGAATAAGGCCTTTTCCTTGACGCTTAGAGGTAATACTACGAAGCTTGCCAAGATGCAGAATTTTACCAAAGGACCTCTCCTGCTTTTAAATAATTTTGTTAATTTTACAGGGATTTTATATATATGTGTATATAAAGTATCTGAAGCATGTGGTTTTGAATATGAATAGCTGATAATGGATGCAGGACCGTGGGACAGACTCTACTATGTTAGTGATTATATGTTTGTTTTTAAAAAAAAATTACATTTGTATTTAAGAAGGAAAGGCTTTGTGTTATTGGCTATTATTTTGACTGATGACTGAGCTATTAAACTTCAGTATTACATAGGCTTATCTTGGGATACATATTCAAGTGGGACAGCCCTCTACAATCATCTGTGTAAGTAGCAGTAATCTGTAAAATAAAACTGGAAAACAGTCGTGTTTCTACACACACATACTCACACAATACAATGAACCAAGGTTCAGTCCAAACATACTTGTCTCTACCTGAACCAGGGGTATTCCGAGCCACTAAATTAGGAATACATCAAAAACCACACGTGATATTCACTCTCAATTGAAGGAAGCACAAAGGTTTAGGTACATGTAGTAATATTTTATTTCGGCATGGAACAACTCGGCACTGACAAACAAACAAACAGGAAAGACAAGCTGGCATACAGCATTCTTGGCTTGCCCAAAAGCATCTTTGTGGAACTCTTAAAGGCATCTTACAATAGTTGCATTTGTGTTGTTTCTCTTCCATTCAGAGGATGACAGTTTAAATAATGCTGTACATATTAAAGGGCGCAGAAAACCCTCAATATGACAATGGACATGCTGGGGATTTTTTTTCCCCTAGAGTTTTCTCACAACAGCATTTCAGAGGCTGTAACGCTGAATCGGAATAAATGCCCCAAATGTGGCTTCTGCTTCTGTTCCCTTGCCAACTCCTCTAAGTGGCGCGCAACAATTCTGTCAGTGCAAACGTGGAAACTGCGCTTTTAGCGACACTTACAAAAAATGCAGTCAGCAAGGGTTTGAAAGTGGCCCTCTCTCCATTCTAGCAAGCCTTCGTATATTTATTACGTTTAGAACTTGGCTCCTGGCGTTTTCAATACGTTTGCTAAAATACAGTCAAAATTGTGAATACAGGGTAGCTTTGCAGAAGCCCCACAAAAACAGCCTAAGCATAAAATCTAGGCTTTCTTCTCTTTTCTGTATTTTTTTTTTTTAGGAAAACACATTCTCAACTTTTGGGATAAGAATGTGCCTGAAATTTGATGGTCTAAGCCTGCATTAATCCCCGGGAGCTGAGATGACCACAATAAAATTGTCTTTGAGCCACTGAAGCAGAAGAAAAAAAAAGGGTGCCAGCTTGCTCAGAGTTCTGAATTCTTTTTTTTTATACATCCTTCCTCAACTTTATAGTATGTGGTTATCCTATTATTTCTGCCTATACTGTCTATCTGAACTGCTGGTACCACTTACAAGTAAAATTACGTATTTCACAGAAGAAGGAATACTTTTGATTTTTCCCTTTGGGAAACAGCTTGGATAGGATTTTTACAAATACGAGATCCATACTTTTTTTTTTTCTTGTTAAATTAAGCAGAAGCCTGAGGATGGTTACGAGCATGTTTTGCTGATGGGTGTTGTCAAACGGAAGAGCAACGGTTCTCTTCATACAGTATATATTCTATGTAGGACCAAAGTACATTTAAAACACGAGCAAGGTTTGTGTTTTGCCACACGAGAGACGGGGGGGGGGGGGACACCATTAAAGGCTGGCATGAGCATCTGCGCGGGAATCAGGAGATCCCACCATTATACAAACAAAACTTTCTGTATGCACGCTTCTAATACCAAGAGAAAGGAAAGTGAAACTGAATTACAGAAGAGAATTTACTCCTCAAAGTCACCAGTCCATTCTGAGTCCATCCAATGTGTTAGCAAGAGGAGAAGGTTTTCCAGAAAAAGTTTTTACAGGGTGGTTTTTCCCGGGTTGCGGGCTGAGGAACAGGTGCTCTCTCTTCCCACGGTCTGGCTACAATCTTCTCCTGCCTTGACAGATGGGACACATTCCGGTGTGATGCCCGTTCGGTCAGCCCCGAAAGAAGAACAAGTAATTCCTTCTTTTGTAGGTCTGCCGGCGCCTGAAGATACTTTGTAAATGAAACAAAAGCGAATTAAGCATTTATTGTGGAAAGAAGTGAGGTAAACCGAGGCTTTAAAAGGGCCGGGAGATTTAAGCTGCCTTGCCTTGAGACCTGGCAAGTCCATCCCGTTACGTCTCCTGCACAGACCCTTCCTTATTCCTGAAGATCGTTTCAACCGGACATGGAAAGGCTCGGATACGTCCTTTAAGAGCGAAGGATGTTTCAAATGTTGTAATGTCTGAACCTGCGAGCAAAAGACTTGCTCTCCTTATCATTAATCCGAACCAAGTGCTATTAAAAATGTGATGAAATGTAAACCCTGGGATTTTGATGCTTAGGGCATTTCTCTTCCCAAGTTCTCAAGAAGGGGAACCTGTCCCTGTGATGGTGTCAAAGGGTCTCCGTGTCCCTGAATGACTATGCCTTGATTTAAAAGCATCTACGCAGAAAGCTAAGGTGCTAAGGGAAAAAGCTTCTGCCAACTCTAAATTTCTCTTCAGGTTTTGAGATCCGGTGGTCTCGTATTCTGAAGTAGAAAATAAGCAAGCAGGATTTGCCTTTTGCTCTTTTCTTCAAATGTAAATTTCACTCTAGTCCCTTTCATTTGAACAAACCGCTCTCCTTAAAGCAACTGCTGTCAGCTATTAATCTATCGGGCTGCCGTTCTTCCAAGACTTGGGAAGAAAAACAGATTGGTAATTGGTAGTTTTTACGGAGTGATCCTTGAATCTGTTTCGGAGGAGAGCAGCGTAAATCAAACATCCTGAGCTGAAAACTTTTAAAACAAAGCTTTTTAAAATGATCTTTATGACAACCCAGAAGCAATTATTTTGCTGAAGGCGAAGATGCAGTGGGTCTTTTTAATGAGAAATATAAAAGGGAAATTCACCAGCACCTCAGAGCTCTTCAGCTTTGTTTACGACCAGCTATTTCCTGGTTCTTTATTATTTTCTCCCAATTTTTGCTTTGAAAGGGTATCACCTTAACATTAGTTATTCCACACACACACCCCAAAAAAACCCAAGGGTTTTCATTAAAATGTTTCCAAAACAAAGTGTAAACCGAAAATCCCATAGGCATATTTAGGATACAAGAAAAAAACAAATCAATTAGCCAATAAGGTATCCCACAAATTGACCCAGTGGACTTCAATTCAAGCTTATTTTAAAATACTCCGGACTGCAACCCAATGCTAACTCTATAGCCGATGAATATTCTGGCTATATTTTATCAGCAAAAGAACAGGATCTCTTCTGCCCTCTGCTTACCTTGCCCTGTCGCCTCAATGGCCCTTCTGGAACAGGTAGGGCAACCATACTGGCACCCCCCATGGACCTGGGAAACAGGATCAGCCCCAGAAGGAACAGACAGAGCGGGGAGAACGCTTGCCCCGCCATCTAGCTCAGATGTATGTCTGAACGTCACCTGCCTTGCGAGTTATATTTTGTGCTTTTTTAGACCTGGGGAGGGAGATTCTCTATTTTCCAATCTGCTAGGTTTTATGAGAGGAGCCGTTCGCCACCCCCTCATCCGACCGTCCTTTCTTTCCAAACTCAAGCAATGACGCATGAGCCGGGGCCGCAATTAAGTCTCCAAATGGTGCATTTTGTACAGCTTTAACCCTTAATTAGTGCCTCTGGGTGTCAATCCCATTAAAGTACATTCGCCATCCATTTAAGCTGTATGTGCATTTTTATTTGCTAAAAAAAAAACACCCCTCTCCATCCGACTCAACCTCATTTCCTCACCATTATTCCCACGATGATTAGGACGCTTTTGAGTACAAAATAGTGTGATTTAGCAAAGTAATGATTCACCGAGCAGAGGGGAGCAAGAAAGCCAACTCAAGAGAACCGCAAGTCTTGCGATGGGTTTCATAATGAGAAGCAAAAGTAAGTTGACTGTTAATAATGAAAAGAGTCCGGATTAAAACAAAACAGCAAAAATAGAAATAAAAATCCCAAAGGGCAAAATGTTTGTCAAAATCATGTAGTGCAGATGAAACATATTCAAAATTAAAATGAACCCCGGGGGACAAGATTCAAAATAAAGGCAAAATTTGACTACTAGTTCCCTGCAATAGAGTGGGAATAACGAAGTTATTGGGTAGAAGCAAATGGGAGACAGTCTGTAAGTGGGGAAGATGTTACAGGTTGCTAAAATATTAGAAGGCACACACACACAAAAATCAATAGACTTTGTTTTTCATAGTACTGGATTGCTGTATCACCCAATAAAATTGGTTGTCAGGAGATTCTGTAAACAACAAACTAGAGTTATTCCATGTACAATGTAGAATTGATTGATGGCATTCACTGTCATAAGAGGCAGTGAAGGATACTTAGATGCCTAGAGTTATGAGAGGATAAGACAAATTCATTGATGGAAATATTTATTAACTTTGTTCCATTGTTATTAATATGCTTTATTAACTGCAAAATAGAACTGTCCAGTTCAAAAAGAAAATGCCACCCAGTGATGGGTGGGGGTTACATGTATCACTTTGAACTATAAATGTGGTTTGACCAATTTTGTGAAAACTTGAAAACCTGTTCTTCAGCGCAAAGAGAGCCAACTGTCTTATTCAACAGAACCCAGTTTAAGAACTGTGGCTTAGTAGGATATGAAAAATGAAGTATTAGTGCTGAGGAACAAAATAACTGAGCTTTTTGGCTCAACTGAATATTTAGGATGATCCAGGACAATTCAAATGTGGAAATATGCCTAAGTTGTTTTTGAGAAGGGGCAGGAACTATTCCTGTGTGAACTCAGGAAAGTTCTCAAGATATATATATATATATTCCTTATTCTCCTCCGGTGCCTGTAGCTTTATTGGTGGTGGATGCTATGACTTGTCCAATTTCCAGCCACTAACTTTTCTTCCTAAGAAAATTAAGACAGTGTAAAGCCCTGAAGATTTTGTGTTTGTCCAGTAAGAACTAAAAGCCCCTTTTGTTGTTTATAAGGAAGTACAATCATCATCCTTCTGGTGGGCCCCTCTCATCTTAAATAACTCACTCCAGGCAATCATCCAAGTTCCCCATTCAGGTATATTTTTCTTTTCCCAATGTTTATTTTCCAAATACATTGTGCTTATTTAAATATTAAAAAAAAATAGAATTGTAATCTAGGCAAGGCGGCACTGAGGATCTGGGTTCCACAATGAACGTGAGAAATCCCCATCTGGAAACCAGCAAGGGTGAGTTTTATGCCATGTTGGAATCTTCATTCTCGATTGCCACAGGTTCTTCGTTCGAATCTCTTCCTCCTTTCTTAGCAGCGGATTTTTTTTTCTTTTTCTCTTTTTGTTCCAGGTTATTCAAGGAAAGCTCGTCACTCTTCTGAGTAATATACCTCAACTAGAAATACAGAGAATGTCATCAGTCACCTACAGTGGCAGAGGTTCACCAGGCAGTCAGTGGAACACACAGGCAATGCACAAACACATCCAATGTGTAACTAAACATGAAGATCTGCAGGCAGGCTGACATCCAGTGGTTCTTCAGGCCTGGACAATACAAAGTCTGATAAAACAGCAACTAACTGCTCATGGTTAATAGATGGCAAGCTGTGATTCAAGATAAAAAACCTACTGGATATGTCAATTATTAAATCTCTGGCTACAAAATACGTGCCTCGAAAAGCCAATGCTATTTAATCGTTTCTCCCACCCAATCCAAGCAGAGTTATAACAGCTAATACATATCAAATACAAAAAAAAGAGAAAAAGGAATGTTTTCCTTGATTCGTTTTTATCTTCCAGTGCATCTACTAGTTCAGAGGTCCCCAACCTTTTGGGCACCAGGGACCAGTTCCGTGGAGAGGTTTTTCTGCGGACCAGAGGGTGCGTGTTTTTGTGTGCTGCCTGCATCACGCGGATGGGGCTTTGCTTGTTTGTGCGGACCCGTTGCTGGCATGCCGCAGCCCGGTACTTGTCCACGGACCGGGGGTTGGGGACCCCTATACTAGTTGTTTTTAGTCAGACTTTTCATTTGTTTTACAATGTTCATCCAAGGTTGAAAGGACGGTAGATCAGTCTGCACAGAAATGTACTGTATAACTCTTTTCGCATCTTTAATTGCTTTAATTTGTTGCAAGGTAATTTTAAATGGTTATTAGATAGTGGTAAGGAGACCTGTTCCTAATATGAAGACCCCCAGCAATTAAAAAGGGCTAGCTAGCAGATGACATGTCAGGCTTTGGGGCAATGTGTAACATCATGAAACTACAACTCTTGAATATTCTCCATCGTCAGCCATGCTGGCTAAAAGAAAAGATGAGATTTCAACAAATGCTTGAACTTCTGGCCTGGGTTGGTTTAAGGCATTTTCCTAATTGTAAATATGCTTATGTCCTCTTCAGACATGTTGGCTAACTGCTGCTCAATTCATTTTTGACAAGAGAAAAACAGACCTACCGAGATTAGCAAATTACATACCTACTAAGTGTGAGCCAGGAGTGTTTATAGGAATTTGGTTCAATTTATGACTCCCATGTATAGCCCGATCCATACACTTCAAAGCAAAATAAATCTCATTTTGTTTTTGCCATTTTTACTGATAAATCTGTTGTTAGGATGACTACATCTTGTTTCAATTTTCTTCTGTGTAAAAATACAGCTTATTGGAGCCATTTGGCTCATGACAACTCATACGTTATTATTTTTTTCTCCTTTTACATTACTCCAGTTTTATAGCATCTATAGCTTCTCTTCCATTTTCAATTTATTTGCTGTACAAATGAATGATGGGGTAAGTGAGTTCTATCAGGATATAATGTGGCACTATATTCTCAACAAAATTTAGCTTTAAATACAACAGTCCAATCAAAGGGTGCTGACTGAAATAGCAATTCTATATAAAGAATGGTATACTAATTTGCTCTCCAGCTTTACTAAGAATTACTTTCAAATTAATTTGCAAATAGGTTGCTGTCTTATGATGATGGAGGAGGAGGAGGAGGAGGAAGGCTCAAATGTTACTTGATCCTCCAGATTCCAGTACAGGTAGTCCTTGCCTTACAATCATTTAGCAACAATTTGAAGTTACAACGGCACTGAAAATTGACATATCACCATTTTTCACACTTACAACCGTTGCAGCATCCCCACAGTCACGTGATCAGAATTTGGATGCTTGGCAACTGGCATGCACTTATGACAGTTCCAGTGTCCCAGGATCATGTGATCCCCTTTTGCAACCTTCTGACAAGCAATGTCAATGGGGAAGCCAGAATCACTTAACCGTGTTATTAATTTAACGACGACAATAATTAACTGAACAACGGTGGCAAGAAAAGTGGTAACATGGGGCGATATTCATTTAAATCCGCCTTGGTTAGTAGTAACAGAAATTTTGGCCTCCGTTGTGGTCGTAAGTCGAGGACTACCTGTAGAGGCTCTAAACATTTTTCTTCTGATAATTCTTACTGGCCCAAATTCTTTGTCAAGAAAGAAATTCAGGAACCATAAACAAGTGGCTTCGGCACAATTGTAATCTTGGAGCATGGAGTAGCTATTTTGCTCTTCCGTTCTACGTTCAATTAAATTGTTCTGCAGCTGTTGGCTCAAGGACACAGTGCTCAGCTGAACACTTCAGCCCCACCCCTCCTGCCTTTCCAAAATAGCTCAATATTGCATGGTGAGGAGGAGGAGGAGAAGCCTGCCCTGCTGGGGTTTAAAATTAGCAGAAACACTGGCTCTGTTCATTTGAAGCTGAAGATCTACTTTAAATAAGAGAGTATCTCTTATAGGCTGCCCTATAAGCTTCTGCATATCTCAGAAGCTTATAGGGCAGCCTATAGAAGAGACTGGACAGCCATTTGTCTGAAATGGTACAGGGTTTCCTGCCTGAGCAGGGGGTTGGACTAGATGACCTCCAAGGTCCCTTCCAACTACTACTACTACTACTACTACTACTACTACTACTACTTCTTCTTCTTCTTCTTCTTCTTCTTCTTCTTCTTCTTCTTCTTCTTCTTCTTCTTCTTCTTCTTCTTCTTTTCTTCTTCTTCTTCTTCTTCTTCTTCTTCTTCTCCTCATTATTATTATTATTATTATTATTAAAGAAAAAAATTATTAGCCCCAAATGTGAGATATAAGACTTAGAAATTGGGATTATTTAAAATATGGAAATGATAAAAGATTAAACGTTAAACTTAAATATCAATGAGAAATTAAAAGTTAAGAAAAACTTACTAGGTTATTGTGTAAAAGGTGGAATGTCAAATTAATTAAGATATGTATAGACTGAAGATTATTGATGAATATTAGAAAGGTACTTTTTGTTTGATCGATAGAATAAGAATTGTATGGGTTCGAATATGACAGTAGATATTATGGGGGAAAGAGAGGGAATTAGTTGTTGTAATACTTTGAGATTTGTACTGATGATATTCAAATGTAATGGAATTACTGTGCTCAGCCGCCACGCTACTTTTCAAATATGTAAATGTAATATTGTAAAATTAATAAAAAACTTGAGGGGGAAAAAAGGAAACGAGGAGAGTGAGAAGCAAGGCATCCATCTCTGGCAGGTACTGAAATGCTAACTTTTCAGCCATCCTGGTTGACCTGAAACTCACAATTCTTCAGATAAATCCAAATCAGAGGGAAATTCCAGGATGAAATGGCTGAAGCAGAATTGACCCCTGAAGTGTAATTACCTGCCTTATGAGTCAACTGAGAGGCCTTCTATATTTATAAATGGCTATTACGAAAAAGGGAACATTGTGCTTTTCAGCCAGAATTAACATGACAGGATCTGAGCTCAAAGCAGAACGTCAGAAAGTAAGCCACTTATATTCCATGGCTGTTTCTGAAGCCCAAGATGGCAATGAGTAAGACAAGAAAAGAGAGGCGTTTCTTCTTAAAGCTACAGCAGCATAAAAGGAACGTAATTAAGACACATTTCCGAACTACGGTTTGAGGTGTTTGGTGCACTAGAGAAAAATACATGGTGTTATGATAGTTCTTTAAGCCTGTAATACAATAAGTTGTTGTATGTGTAATCCTGTGAAGTGCCACCAGCTTTTCCAATATGGTGGCTTTCAGCCAGATTTCCGACTGTTCTAATATTAAACCACAGCCCCAATTATTCAGAGACCATCACACTCTTGTTCTTCAAAACTTTGTTAGCAACTTCCACAATTTGGGAGGCGAAGAAACAGTTCAATCAATTAAATCCAACATGACAAGAAATTTCTGTATAGATATGTCCCCTAGGACAGTGGCATCTATGCATGCATGTGTATGAAAGAGGCAAAATGACAACTGCAGCACTGCAATTGTCACAAAGAGCTGGAACTTTAATTACAATGCTGCAACCACCATCGGCCCTTCTCTGGAGATGCCCCTGTCTAAAGATACTGGGGAACAAATTGTATTTATGACACTTATCTGTACTGACCTATAGGTACTTCTACTCTGCAGATGGTCCTCAACTTACAACAGTTCATTTAGCAATTTTTCAAAGTTGCAACAGCAACTGAAAGGGATCATTTTTTAACACTTTTGTCTGTTGCATGATCAAAATTCAGATGCTTGGCAAATGACTCGTATTTATGACAGTTGTAGTGACCCGGGATCAAATGATCACCTTTTGTGACTTTCCCACAAGCAAAAGTCAATGGGGAATCCAGATTCACTTAACAACCGGGTTGCTAACTTAAAAACTGCAGTGATTCGCTTAACAACTATGGCAAGAAAGGTTGTAAAGTGGGGCTAGAAGAAAGGTAACAGTAAACAAGGCTTCCCAAGTCAAACAACAGACCCAGAGGGGAAGGGTCCAATCTCACCAATGAGTTGCTCCTCCGAGCCAAAAGTTTCACATCTTCAACATTAATGGTGCTCCGTTTTCCATGCCTATGAGAAGGAAGAAGTGATCAGATTACAAGAAGGTTGCAGTAAAATTATCGAACGAACGAATCTTAAAACCTTATCAGAAAAGCTGCTTAAGTGTAAATGGTTCAAACTTTCTCTGCAGCTGCTGGATACATGAACAAAATGAAGCTTTTTTTTATGCAGCGGCAAGTAGATTATGTTGAAATGCTTTGGGGATTTTGCTTTGGCAAGAGGACCCCTGATTTTGCCAGCCCTTCTAGAGACTTCTTTTCAAGACTAAATTGACCATTTATCTATCAAACTTGGGAATCTATATAAATAAAAATGTAAATGTTCGTTTGTTCACAATCTTAAATCTCCAAAAGTTCTTCACCGATTGCTTTGAAATTTTGACACAACGTTGCATTCGAATACGCACAGGTTTTTATATACCTATATCAGTGATGGCAAACCTTTTAGAGACTGAGTGCCCAAACTGCAACCCAAAACCCATTTATGCATCGTCGAGTGCCGGGTGGGCGTGCCCATTGGGTGGGTGTGGCTCATTGGGTGGGCGTGGCTGCAGTGGTAACGGCAGATGGGTAGGACTAAAAAGTTCAATCAATCAATTCCAACTTTGCAAGACCTTCTTTTTTTTCCAGTGAGAAGTTGAAATTGACTGATTGGACCTTTTTTGCACATGGCAGCGGAGGCCTAAAGCAAAAAAGTTTTATAAACCCAGCTGAAGGCCTAGGACTGGGGCAATGGCGCACGTGCCCACAGAGAGGGCTCTGAGTGCCGCCTCTGGCACCCATGCCATAGGTTCGCCACCACTGACCTATATTATATAGATGTCACACCTGTGACAGGTAAAAACATGCTTTTTTTGAAAAACACGCCATCTGTTGAATGTAAAAGCAACACACGCTACGATTCAAAGGTGAAGATGTCCTCATTCCTCACATTCCTATGATTCCAATGGATATGCCATTTCAATTTAAGAGATTGCAATTCCCAATTCGATTGGCGTTTGCAATCACCATCAACAAAGCTCAGGGCCAATCTTTAGAATTGTGCAGTTTAGATCTAGACACGGATTGCTTCTCACATGGAAATTATATGTTGCGTGTTCTAGAGTCGGCAAACCAGACAATCTCTATATCTGCACAGACAATGGAACAACAAAAAATATTGTATGCCCACAAGCATTGTGAAATTAAACATATTACAAACATGTGCTTTCTCTTTTCTTTCTTTTCCATTTAACCAGACTGAGCCACAGCAATGTGTGGCCGGGTACAGCTAGTGATAAATAAATAGCAGGGACATTTTGTTCCTTCCATTTTGATGTTCATGTAAAAGGAAATGTTCCCCCCGTAGCAACTGATACACTGTAGAGAAAGTTATTAAATTACTTTTCTCTATTACAGCAATTTTCATTGATAATAGGAAAGTGATTGTATTACTTTGTAATTCTGTAATTGTATTCTCTATACCAGCAACATTGTTGGAACCAAGGGAAGGGCAGCCTTGAAATATTTCCTGTGTAATAGTACAATGTTTCATCTGCTTGTCTCATGGTTCCTGAGACTCTAAAATACAATTATGATAAATGGAAGTGAGGGGGTAGAGAACGAGAGCATTATCTAAGCAAACTTTGGGGGGGGGGGGAAATCCCAAAAGCTAGCCGAAGATACCACTGGATATTAAAAACCAGGTTCTTTGTGCGTCATTCAAGCCCTGCTTAATTTATATATTAGCACACTTGCCCATTATATAAAGACATTTAGAACTGTAATTTGCCAAATGAAAATTGACTTCCATTAACCCAGAAAAATGGACACAAAAGCAAAATGTAAGTGGAATGAGATAACAAAAAAAAGATGAAATTATGACTAGCTAAAAACAGACACTGCAAGTAGAGGTCTGATCTTGTGGCAGTCTTGTGCTTTTAGACAAAAAATACCCCCCACAGATATACAATTTTTCTACCAGTAGCAAATAGAAGAGAGCAACAGAAGAGGCTAGGCAAATACAAGAGCCTAGGACTTGAGGAGGGCAGGTTTCAACCTGGCAAAAAGATTTTAAAAGATTATAACACCTATGAATCCAAGCATCATCCAGTTACCTCACCTGAAGCCTATGGAATATTTTGCTGCTAAAATCTGTATATTTCTAACACAATACAAAAGCATGTTCTCCGTCAGTTCATTAACTACCCGTAGCACCCTTCTTAGTCCACTCTTTTACAAGAGCTTGGCGCCAGTTACACAAGTAATTTAACAGTTATTAAATAAAATATGAATTAATGCAGGGAAACAGAGTGCCAGAATTAATTTTAGACCATCCTTGCTAAAAGCCAGATGGCTGAAAGAGGCTAAGAGTGTACAATAAATATGTTGATATGACACTCAACACCAATGTACTTAAAGCCACTAGCAACCGAGTTATCGAGGTCTTGTGTGAGCCCACTGATTGGTTCCACATCACACTAAGCCACAATGTGATTTGGTTGCTGTCCCCTTGGTGTTCTATTTGTTAGCTGCAACCTGTTTAACAAACCAAGGTTTAATATGATGTCAGAACAGAGTCACCACTTCTGCATGAGTTCCTGAGAGGAGCATAGTTGCTAACACAAAGAAGGCAAAACTCTAAGCAAGAGATGGCAAGTCACTGCCTCTGGCAATGTGCGTGTGTTAAAACAAAGTCAAAAAGCTTCATCAAATAGTACCACAAAAATACATTATCACCAGCTCTAATTTGACGGACAGGAGCTCCATTGCACATGAGGACACCTAACACATGGGTGTCAAACTCACCACGTTATGTGATGTGTTATGACATATCACAACTTTGTTTGCATTGCTGGAGCTGGGGTGGGCATAGCCCCCACATGATGCAACTGGCCCACAGGCCAGCAGTTTGACATCCCTGACCTAACATAAGACATTTTTCTCCAAACAGCTGAAAACAAGCCATCCCACTTACAACTGCTCAACAGAATGTATCTTTAAAGGAGACCTGCCAACTATCTGCAGGGCTTAGACATACATCTGCAGGAAATATTTTCGACAAACTATGGTTTATTCCTAAACCATTCGTAGGAAACAAAACTCAAACAAAAGTTTTATTTTCCTGATAGCAATTTTCTGTACAATAAATTGGCTTTCAAAGCAATTATGAAAAATGAAGTATGTATGCATGCAGATCAACAATATATACAAAATTTGGCAACTATCAAATATCAACAATATATCAGAAAAAGAGACTGAAAAATAAAAAAACTGTATCAGATTGAAAAAATGCTATCCATTCTGAAGACCAAATATTAGAATTTTTGGCTACAACACCTACATCAAGTCCATGCTGTATATTTTTTAAAAATAGTTTTAAGTAGCTTCCAGGAAAACAGAAAACAAAACAAAAATATGTTTCTAGTTGTCTTATCAGATTACAGATACACGTTGATTATTGTTAAGTATTACCCCTTTCTACAGTACTTACTTGGCAAACATTTCAAGGTCCTTTGCAAACATTTCTGAAAAGGAAAAATAAAAAGTATCTTAATATGTTTTCATATTAAGCAGAGCTATCTCTAAGTTTATTTGCAGTTCCTTTTTAAAGAAATATAATATTGAAAAGATAAGGAAAAGTACCGCATTGCCTAAAGGTGATCTCAGAAATAGCTGCAATGGTCTGTTTGCTAATCTTTATGTTTTTATCTTCAGCAACTTCTTCGCACAAGCAGGCAACAGTGTAATGAAAAGCTGCTTTCAACCTCTAGGAAAAACAGAGTTAAGAAGGAAAAGTTACAAAATTATTTTATACACTAATGTGGGTATATATTATACCAGGTCTTCAAACTAAATAAACAAACAGAATAAATAATAAATAAATGAAGTAGGATTATCAAGTCAAGGTTTTGGGACTAAGAAATTTATGAACCGGGGGACTCAAAGTGATCAGGAATTTGGGATTTCTTATCTCCTTCAACATATTATAATGTCATCCATCTCTGAAAGCAAAAGGAAGAAAATATTTTGTCTGTTTTCTAAATTTTAGCCAGCTTTGCATTTTTTTTAAAAAAATCAGTTTTTACAAGTTTAATTGCCTTGTGCAAGACACTTGAAAAACACACATCTATGTAAACGTGTATATATTTACACACACACATATTGACCATTTATTAGATTACCGTAATATTCAATATTCAATATTCAATATTTATGTATCGAATTTCTATTTTGCCTGACACTTGCATGGCTCTGGAATGGTTTACAAGTAAAACAGTAATTTTGTTATCATTTTCTTCTCAATCTTTCTTTACTCATTTGAGGCCCAGTCTATGAACATGCTTAAAATACAGCAGCATTTTCAATTAACAGAATAAAACAGGGAGCCAGGCCAATAAACCTGACTCTGTGTGTGTGTGTGTGTGTTTGTATACAATATAGTGTATGCATCTGTGTACATTTATCTATGTATATATTAAGGGAAGGGGAAGAAAATGTCAGTCCAACAACCCTCATTCCCGATATTCCGTCCTAAAAGCACTCTGTCCATGCTCAGAGGAGATAATGGCAGCAGCAGGATTGTCTCCCTCCTCCCCCGGAAACTCCCCAAAGGCAGACCCTTTGCACGTGCTCAGAGACCCCTTCCACCCCCCCCTCCCCGGAATGTTTCAACAGCCCCAAGAAAAGGCGCTCTGCACGTACTCAGAGGCACTTTGTCTCGGGGTGGTGGTGGGGATGACGGCGGCAAGTGAGGTTCGTTCCCCCTCAGGTCCGCCACCGACCAAACTCCCTCACGGCCGCGGCGCGTCAGCAATAAAAAGCCGAGTTAGCGAGCAGAGACGGAGAGAGTAAAGGCCGCGGCAAAGGAATCCAATTTTTAAGCCGTCCCTGCCCTCTGCACATGCTCAGAGGCGCCCTTTCCCGGGCGCGGGAAGGGAGGAGAAAGGGTGGTACCTGATCCTCAATGTCCATGGCGGCCAAAATGGCGGGCACGTTTCCCGCCTTTTTTTCGCCTCAGGCGGCGCCGTTGAGGGGCGGGGCGAGGGGCGGAGCCGCCGGGCGCATTCTCCTCCCCAAGAAGGGCCGGCCACGCCTCCCACCCACCCGGTGCTTTCAAGTGTGGGACTCTAAGCCCCATGAGGAGAGAGGATGATGGGGCTAATGGTCCCGCTGTGGAGAGCAGCGGGGCGGGGTTGGGGTAGAGCGAGGGGACGGGAAAGGGTCTGAGCCGGCTTGAAAACGACGTGAAATGGAAATACAATGAAAATAAAAGTGTAATAACAGGCAATAGAATGACAGATTGGGAAGGGATCCTAGAGGTCCTCTAGTCCAACCCCCTACTTCTGAATTCAGACGTGCGTAAAATAAAACTAATTAAATTTGCCTTTGCTTATTATTTTTAAAAAATCCTTTTTTCCCCTCAAATTTGCTCTGGGAATAGTCTCTGCCAGTCTCTTTTATAAATAAAGTCAAATAATGCCTTTTAATAGGAGCAGCAAACAAAAAGGCAGGGAAAGACCTCGTGGTCCATAGAGTCTGCCCTTTGAGGGTTTCTTTTCTTTTTATTTACTATTTTTAATTATCTTTTATTTTTAAATTTTTGTTGGATGATGGGCATGTGTTTATCCCAAGCATGTTACTATTCAGAACAGTAGTAATTATTTTTTATTAGTATTAGTTTCTTTCAGGAAACCTGATTCCTATTTTTTTAAATTTTGCTTGGATGACCCCATCCAAGCAAAATATGGGTAGCAATACATGTCCCATCATCCTGGGCCACCACTGGCAATAAACAGGGAGCTGTAGTCCAGATAAAAAGGATCTGATATGGTAACTGATACGCTAATAAACTCATATGCTAATAAACAAGCCAGCCAGTGCTGGAGGGGCTAACTACAAAAAAGCTAACTACAAACCCCATCATCCCTGCCCCTTGGCCCAGCTTTAATTCTTGCTTCGGTACAACAAAACCTTCTTCCAAATTGCTATGATCTCAAAGCTGTTTTTATCCAAGCAAGGGATTAAAAAAGCAAAGATGAATTGGAAACGAGCGTTTATTTCAGCAGAGTTTTCACATTTATTCCATCCATTTTATTCTGGCTTTTTGCACAAGATACCATTAGAAACTCCTTTACAAAAAAAAAGAAAATAGAAAATAAAAACTAAAACTGGACATCTACAGACATGCCCAAAGTATGGAGACTCCTTTCTATGTAGCTCTTATGGGGTTTCCATCGTTTAGGCGTTATAAGACGAAGATGAGACGGTGCCCCCGTGTCCCGTCCAATTGGTGTGAACGAATTCGCCCGGTTTTGACAACAATTCGTAGGTGTGGGCACCAAAATAATCCCTCTGAGCCTAAGAGGAGAGAAAGCACAACGTTTTGAGTGGACAACTTGAAGCTTGGAAGCCCACGACTAAAGAACGACTGCTGATCAAAACTGCATTCACACAACCACTCTTGCAAGCCAAATTGACCACATGGTGGCTTCCGAGAGACTGATTTCTATTCCCAGAATTCTGAGTTGGTTAAGGAATTCTGGGAATTGAAGTCCACGCCTCTGAAGAATGCTCTGTGGTTTATGCAGCTTTCCCAATGGGGTTCTAGGTTTACTGTGCTATTATGGGTTGTAGAAGAGACTTTTTACCATTTCCCCTTTTCTTCAGGATAGCAATTAATTGGGGATGTCTAGTAATTGGGGATGTCTAGCTTAATGAAGAGAAGGACAAGGGGGGAACAGGATAGCAATGTTCCAGTATCTCAGGGGCTGCCCCAAAGAAGAGGGAGTCAAGATGTTCTCCAAAGCGCCTGAAGGCAGGACAAGAAGCTGATCAAGGAGAGAAGCAACCTAGAACTAAGGAGAAATTTCCTGACAGTCATAACAATTAATCAGTGGAACAACGTGCCTCCAGAAGTTGTGGGTGTTCCAAGACTGGAAGTTTTTAAGAAGAGAGTGGACAACCATTTGTCTGAAATGGTATAGGGTTTCCTACCTGAGCAGGGGGTTAGACTAGAAGACCTCCAAGGTCCCTTCCAACTATTCTATTCTATTCTGTTCCATTCCATTCTTTCCATATTCTATTCTATTCTATTCTATTCTATTCTATTCTATTCTATTCTATTCTATTCTATTCTATTCTTTCCATATTCTATTCTTTCCATATTCTATTCTATTCTATTCTATTCTATTCTATTCTATATTCCATTCATTCCTATTCCTATTTCTATTCCTATTCCTATTCTCACAAAGATACACTACAAAGAAAACTAGTGAGATCAGACTTAAGCTGGGATTCAACTGCTAACAAGCCGTGGACAGAAAAAGAAATTAGGAATCAAAGCAAGTTTAAGATCAGACTCCATGCATACGTTACTCACCTGAATCAGGTTAGCAGGCAAAGTGCCATGTCTGTATCCATCATAAAAGGCTAGTGCTGTGGTAAAGCAGGGCATCGGGATTCCCACCTGGACCCCAGTGCTAATTGCGCGTCGCCATGAGTCCTTGCAAAAAGACCAAAGGTGCAGGAAAATTAATTTTCTGGACAAGATTCCTGGTCTCTCTAGGCCGGTGTTTCTCAAATCTCTGCCACTTTAAGATGGGTGGACTTCAAGTCCCAGAATTCCCATCTAGAAGAGTCTTCATGAAATTCCCTTACCTGACAATTCTCCACTGCCGTCTTAAAAAAGACATCTAGGAGTAGATTTTGTAGATCGGGGGTCCGGTCAAAAGCTTCTTTAATTTTGCCCAAGAAAACACTGCCCAGGAGAGATATAAAAAAAATAGCCTTTGAGAAATATTTTAAATGAATAAATCAGAATATTATACAGGTGAGGAATTTAATTTCGGCCGGTGTTCGGTGCTAACGTGAATCAGAAAGAATCCATTCTGTATCGACCTAGAAACATTTTCTCAGAATTCAAATTTATTCAGCACTATAAGGAACGAGGCTGCGCTATTTTTTTTAAAAAAAAAACACACTGCTGTGTATATTATAATAAAATCTGTTCCTGGATTTGCATATTCCTTTCTTCTGGGTTCTCGACTGATATAAATAGTATTCATAGTGAAGACTATTTTGACAGCTTTTAAGGATTTAGAATTTTGAAAGCAAAGGTTTTCAGAAAAGGAAATTTTGCCATCTTCAATCTTTTTTACTTATTTGGAAAACTTATATTGTCACCTACTCACACCTGGCAACTCTTTGCTTTTCTTTAAGCCTTGTGGAATGATATTGGCACCATCTGGACAATATTTCCAGAATATTTGACCAGAATGGTTAATCCATGTTGTGTTCAGAGCTTTTGACACTGAACATCCATCCATGCTCCAATCTGTTTCCTGTTTACGACTTACCTCCTGATGATGCAGCCTCCACGCCACATTAATGCAATCGCGCCATAATTTAGGGTCCAGCCAAACTCCTTGGCGGCTTGCCTCAGTAACATGAAGCCCTGGGCGTAGGAAATGATCTTGGAAGCATAGAGGGCCTATAGGAAGGAGTTAGAGAATGGCATGCATGCAGAATATTAACCAAGGTGTGTTTTAAACCATGATGACCCATAACCCAAATAAAGGACTTTTGATTCTGAGTAACCGCAGTTTGCTAAACAAGCCATCCCTGAACGGTTTGCACGTCTTACTAAGAAATAATAGATAAGTGCACAAGTAATGCTGAATTAAAGAAAAAAAACCCCAGAAACTAGTCATCTTATGATTCAGAGTGATGGCAAACCAAGATTTAGGAAGGAAACTCAGCAAAAGTTGGGTCTGGGCTGTCTTCAGATCATAAAAAGGTTTGTTCTATAAAACTAAACAACTTGCTGATCCACAGACCAAACAAGCTTTTCTCAATATGACGCCCTTCAGATAGTTAAAATTACAATCCATACTTCAGTTTACCACTAGATGGCAGCAGAGAGCTGCGGAAACATCTAGTTACTGCCACCTTGTGGTCCTTCAGAGTTCTGCAGCTGAGATAAAATACGCATTTAATTTTCCAGTGTATTATATGGAATCAATGAATTCTGGAGAAAGCCATATTGAGGAAGGTTGGTCTGCTTTGTGATCCAGCCCAAGTCCTTCTTACACCCACTTTGATAAAATACCAAGGCTCCAGCGAGGGATCAGGCCCACTGATGGGAAAAGCCGTGCACTCACTTTACGAATGTCCTCCAGGAACGTTGCCTTATTCCCAGTAAACGCCTGCGCTTTGGGACCACTCAGGAGTTTGCTGGCTTGCATCCTCTCGTCCTTGAGCGAAGACAAACACCGGGCGAAAACAGCCTCTCCTTTTGAAGGAAAAGCAAGAAATCCATATTATCCCTGACCACTCCAAGCTAAAGACCAAAAACTCCGTTGCATGCACCAAAGGCAATTCCAAACAGAACAGAGCTGGATTTCAAAAGACAAAAAAACAAAAAACTACACAACTCAAATTACTCTACGAAGGAACGGCATGAAAAGAAATTGGAAATACAACCGGGCCAGATAATACAAACAAATAACAAATGTGCTTTCTGGCTAAACCCCAGAGTTATTTTCAGATTCATTTGCAGCTGGAAGGATTTATCCTCCTTGGTCATTTGCTTTCTTTGAGAGAGTCGTTGAGGCCACTTGGAGGTTTGTCTGTGTCCTCAGGGTCACCTGAGTGGTGCAAATGACCAGGAATATAAATCCTTCCATTCCTCACCATCCGGTCAGAGCTGAAGAAGCTTCTTGGATGAGAAGTGAAACGTCTTCAAAGAAAAACTTAAATTTAGAATAATCATAGTCTCCAGTTAAAATATACACACAAAAAGGGTGGTTTACACCAGGGGGGGTCCCCAACCACTGGGCTGGGGACCAGTACCGGTCCATGGCCTGTTAGGAACTGGGCTGCACAGCTGGAGGTGAGCAGCAGGGAGCAGCGAAAATGTGCATGTGTGGGATCTAAGTTGTGTAGTCCTGCTTCCCACCAACTCCCAGTCCGTGGAGAAATTGTCTTCCATGAAATCGGTCCCTGGGTGCCAAAAAGGTTGGGGACCA